TCTACAGTACCCACGTCCTTTTAAGGCATATTTACAAATACGTCTCATCAGATTTTAAATTTAAAAACAACTTAGTTCTGAGTAACAAACAAAACAACACAATCCACACCAATACGTATCTTCTCTGTTTTTGAAATCTATATACATGCTATGTAGTCTCAGTGTTCTGTTATCATGAAGACCTTTTTCTAGAATCACTCGAAACTTTTTCCACTTGACATTTGACATGAATCTATTTTATTAGGCACTCAGTCGGTATTGAAATAGACCGGGTCGACGTCATTAAAGAAAATGTCTGTCTTTATTGCCGAATATTAATTAAATGGCGCGCTCTTATTTCAGTTTCTCATTCCGACTTTTGTGTTTATTTCATCAAGTAGTTAATCATGTTTTATTTAATACTTCATTGTTCGCACCGTTGTATAAATAAAAGGAGTATTTTGTATTTTATGCATACAATTAATACTCCTTTGACCGATGGAGTCGTTCAGTTAATTAAAGTTTGATTTTTTTTTCTTCTTACTTTCACATTTCCAGAGAGTAAAAACATTTTAATAAATGCATATTATTCAGAATTATAATGTTCTTTATGTATATCAAGATATACAAAATGGCTGTTATGATAGTACTCGCTTTATACGTCCTGCCAATCAAGTCCATTTTGCATTAAGCTTTCAATTCCGGCTAAATATTAGATATACATTTTACGACAATAGTCAGGAATGTCGATCTAATAAATATATTTCCTGTTATGATTTTCTCCAGAAGAATATAAAAATTTCCTATAATATCTACTAGTGTATTCTGAAAATCTGTAATCCTAACCTATGTTCACTCCTAAAATAGGCAAAGACCAAGTACCTAGAACCCATATCATAAATATGTACATCAGTAAATACTGAGGGTACCTCTGTACTCTCAGTAAATATGGTACGGGTGGTACTTACATAGCTTTATATTGCAATTAATTGAATACTGGTAAGAATGGAACAATACTTACCTAAGTAACATGTACCTATAATTATTATACGTAAGCATGAGGTTGAATGCACCGCGCAATGCACTGTTGCACTGAAGTCATTGGCCCTGAACTTACAAACAACTCTCTGGAGAATTATCTGTATTTTTGTACTCTATATTAAATAATATCATTTATTCAGTACTTGTATAGTTTTATTCTTTAATGAATATGTTAAAAATCTGATAATCTGCAGACAAAGGGCGTACTAGGAAATAATCGTAGAGGTATATTTCATCAGCCGTATTTTAATACAGTTAAAACTCGATCGAAACGTAGTCTAATTGGTCTAGGTTTAAACCACTCCTAAAGTCATTAAAAAAACTTAATATTACTTAAAACTTAATATCAATAAAGCCGGATATAATCTAGAGTTAAATTGTAGATCATTTATTCTCCATAGATGATTATGATGACAAACAAATTGGAATTAATTTTAATCGGAAATTTAAATACAAAATTTTTCATTCAACAAAGACCTTTTTACGACTGTACCTATAAAAAAAATTATATTGTCATGTCCAAGTACTTACCAGGTAATTTGTATTTACAAATGTAAATACTCATGAAAAGCTTGCTGTATTTCGCTTGCTTACCTCACACAGGAGTCGAGTCTGTAAAATTTAAATACAAAATAAACTCCACGAAATTACTAGTTCGCCTGTACGTGAATATAATAAAAACATACCTTACATAATAATGCCAGCATTTTATCTCGAGCTCAATGCACTTTGAGGCCCTTGCACCCGTTGCACCTAACTCTCTTACGTCACTGTACTTTACATAGCTAATGCTAAATTCAAAGACGAGGACAATCACATTTTCTCAATTTTTAAATAAATGTTTATTTTTTATTTATTATGTTCTATAACGTATTAAATAAAAGAAAAAAACTGTTAAGTAATTTTTTAAAATCGAATATTTGTCTGTCGTTAACAACAATAAGGGCCTATCTGTACTAATATTATAAAGAGAGAATGTCTGTATTTATGTATGATTATATTAGAATGCCACCCATTGTACTTCAGGATTAACTTAGACTATTAATTAGTGTAAAGTATTAGAGAATTCTTCATTCATGCGCAGCCGGTACGGGTTGCGAGTTTGAAATAATTTCTCCTCATATGCCAGAAACTTATAGAGATAATATATATTAAATAATATAATAAATTTATTATAAAATATTAAATATGTAAAATTCTTCTTTTTTAAACAATAATAATCGGGTATAACTTTAATATACGTCTTGATTGAATCAATATTGGGAAAGTGCGAAAAGAATTATATATATTTGCTGTTCGAAAGCGCTTATATTGGTTATTTAAGTGAAGATAATTGCCAACGTATTCTATTGTCAAGTTATAAATAATATAGAAAACAAATATACAGAAGCACAATTTGAAATACAGTAAAATTTTGTGAATTTTATCATTGCTCCATTTTTAGAGGTTTTTTATTCAGAGTATGTGGAAAATGCTGATAACATTCTAACGGACACTTTAATTACAAATTATAGTAGTAGATAGTAGGAAAAATGTACATAACGAATAAAATATGTGCATTTGTGGTGTAAGGTGTCGTTAAAAGTTTGCCATTGCACTTCTGTTTATTTAAGTCAAAACATTCTTATTCTCTGCCATACAAAATGAATTAAATGCATTTTTATGAGATCAGAGTTATGACTGGCCTATTTCATTAAAGAACCATTAAGACTCAACAAAGACTCATTCAATAATTCCGCACGATATGTACCTATATCGTTTAAAAATTGTACCTATGACCTATATCTTACCTATATAACACACATAAAAATATATAACATTCACTGACGATATGATTAATAATTATGTATTTTTTAGAAACTTCGATAATCAAAGTCTATTTTTGCTAATAAATTCGATATTAAAATCAGTGTTGGAAATATGGAAATCTAAGTAATAAGGTGCAAATAGTGTACATAAATTATATTTTAATTTAACAAGTAAGTGATTACTACCATCAAAGAAATTGCAACCACATCTTACATTAGCCGTGACTGCTGGAGACAGTGTAGCCTCATGTTTTCTAATTTAAGTTTAAAAAAGCAACCCTACGTAGTCCCTTAATCCCACTATCGGTCACATCTCAGTCTCGCAGTCCCACCCAGTACCATTCTGACATAGTATAAAAAAGCCAGTATTGTATCTAAAACAAATTACTACCACCAAAAACATTTATAGCTGTGGTAGCTATAAATGGATTTACATCATTTTATAAATAAAAAAAATCTTAATTATATATTTTATCGACATGGTGACATTCCGCAACAATGTGTTGCGGAATTTAACAAATTGATGAAAATACATTAAGTAATTAAATTAATTTTGTAAAATAACACCATATCGATAAAATATATAATTGAGATTTTTTTTAATTTTCAAAAAATTTATAGAAATTGTTTTGTACCGGTGAAGCCATAGAATGTAGGTAGTTATTAGTTGCTGACGTACTGGTCACATACTTTTATAGTTCATATATTATATCTTTTCGGCCAGTCAATTATTACTATACTGCTGCGCTGTCAAGATAAAATTATAATAACTATATTGTTACTAAGTTAACCTACTCAGAGAAACATACTCTGTGGTACTGGGGTGAATATTCGTTTAACTGACCTATAACTGAACACGAACAGTGACGTAGCTTGCTATCACTCGCATCTAATGCAATACCACTTGCATTTCAATGCTTTATACTGTATTTTTGTCATGGAGGGTCGATGGTCGTGGAATGTCGTAGAAGGAGCTAAAATAAGTTGATTCTCAGATTTCATGTAGATAATATATGCTTTCGTCAATAATTTTATAAATGAATGAAATAAAGAAACATTGTATAAATATATTATTTATCATACTGTAAACAACAGCTTCGAATAAACTACTTTATAGCTTTATGTGTAGTTCACACATATATGTACTTTTTCTCTATACAATTACAAATGTAGTCTGAATATCTAGCTAACAGAGTAATTTAAATTACATTTAAATAATAATAGACAAATAAATAAAAATTTTAAAATACTTCTTTATTACCATCTTCAAATATGTGTAAGTTATTATTAGACTGGACTTCGTTGACTGTAAATAATGAACATATATCGATAATTATTTTTTTACTGATTTTATTTTAATAGGTTTTATTTATAGAACAACGTAACTGTAGTATAAAGACTACTTAGTATAATTTTTGGCTAATATCTTAAGAATATTGATATTCAAACAAAATGTTTACAGCAACCACTTAAGGCAACGTGAAACTTTTCTGAGGAGGAAATTCGTGGCATGAATACAAATACAGGACATTCTAGAAGCGTAGTCAGTATCGGCGCCGACTTTTATCCGAAAACCTTTTTGTCGACACGCAAAAAAGTATTTTTGACGGGAAATCTTTGTTCCCAGGTATCGTACCTTTTATATATTGTTGGGGTTTTTGTGAAATAGTAACTTTACTGACCTATTTATGTTCATTCTTATCATTTGTTAACTATCTATTTCTTATATCTAGGATATGATAGAAAGATATTTTTAATATATAGTTTAGAATGATATTTTTGAAATTTAGTATGCGTGTTTCCTGTAAAATAAATGTAAGTTATTTTTTTTAGTACCGTTTATCCTTTAAAGGAAAGGCAAAGGGAACTGCTCTCACACAGCCATGTTTCATGTTCTTAATTATCTTAGTTTATTGTTTAATGTTAATTGTTTTGTAACACTTAACATGATATTATTAATTCATACATTATCGTTATTATATATTATTTTTAATGATTAATATTTGACTATTAATGTACTACAATAGGTAATAGATAAGTAGTAAGTATCTGGAGTAGGTAATGTTCATACTGCATAGTTTCTGTCTACAGCCTCTTTATTTTACTGAAAATAAAAAAAAAACTAGCGTCATATTTATTTGACAGAATCTGTTCTTCGTAACTCTTTATAATATAACAAAAAGTTGTTATTACTTGCACATTACTATAATTATATACTTTTTATTATCATATCTTCATATTTTATTATTTAGGTATAATGGGAGACCCGGAACCTAAAAAAAGTAAAGTTTCAATGATGCTACTGAGTCGGTCGCAAACCCGTTCCGTTGCGGGTATTAAGTCAATGAGTAGGATGAAAGTAAGACGAACGTCCTTTGGATTTGCCGGAGTGCCTGGTATAAGACCTATGGAAAGAACATCTCAGGTACCTAATAGAAAAATAAAATTGAGAGAAAGTACATTAACATCTTATTTTTTCTACATATTTTTACTTAGGATGAATTATAATACGTCAAGATTGGAATTTTTCATCATTCAATTGAAATTGTTGTTAACTGATGACAGTTAACAATAATTTGTTATGAAAAAGGGCGAGTACGAACTCGATTTTCAGAGAGCGCTACTTAGACCCGTCAGGGACAAGAATTGATGGATATTCTTAGGAGCGATGGCTTTTATCTCTACAGGATAGAGTGTAAACTTTCCAAACGAGAGAGAGGTATAAACACCTGTAATTAGCCCAAAACCCCAATAATAAAAAAAACTGTCGTAATATTCTGTCTGACTATAATACTCAGAAAAATAAAGTTATTAATTTTATTAACAATGTTTCAGCTTGGTATAGAGTTTAAACGTCCGCCGCTGTTATATTTAAACACGTATCAACTGGATCCTTTTGTGAAGTTTCACATTCCAACAGTAAAGCGTGCTACTGAAGAGCTATTGGATGAATATTTCACTGGACATAAGTACAACGTTCAGGTTGAATTTAAATATTTGCTAATGTAATTTAACACGTATTTCCGTATTAATAAAGCCTGTAATTTTGCTTTTTTAGATGAACGATAGCTTACTTTACAGAATTTTTTAATAGGCTTCAATTAATTAAGCCTACATGCGACTAAAGACAGCTTATGTCAATGTTTATCATACAATTTATATTTACGTCAAATTTCATTCTGTTTAGTTGTGAAATGAAAACAAACAGAGAGGCACTAACACCAAATACACTTTCTTCTTCGTTATACTCGTATAATATACGACTTATTCATTATTTGCTTATATATTCTATAATTAAATCCGTTTTTTAAGGTTTATTTAAAAACAATATTTTCCGCAATAAGTCTGCCTTATTTAATTTATAAAAATCTAGAAGAAAATTTCTAAACTAATTAAAAGTTCTAGACTAAAAAAATACATCTTTCTTGGGTATAAAAAAACACGTCTGATATTTTTCTAATCTAAAATGTTTAGGCTCGTACTTTATATATAATTTACTATAATAAAGTAAAGTAATTTTACTATAATATACATAATTCATAAATTTGATCAAGACTGAAGACTTTTTCCTAGAACGAAGTCTTGGTAAAATTAATTTTTACAACTAAATTATTAAACTAAAAATAACATACGCCTACCTTTATTTTCACTGGCAATTTTATAACATTCTTATTAGCGCCCAATAAAAATTATTCTCAAATGTGAACCCTATTGTGAACACTCTCCTTTTGCTATCTACTGTATTCTGTCTATAATCTTGTACCACTATTTGTATCGCGTAATAAGGCAACAAATTTTACTAAAGTCAACTATGTACAAAAATAATATTGTATAAGTAGATGACGATATCTCTATGCCACCTATTGGAACCACCAAGCAGCTTACTTTGTTAAATGAGTTTCGATTAAAGGGTACGATATGGCAGCAACTTTACAGGGTACCAAGACGTGACATCTTAGTCCACCTGAATGGCAACATATGAGGGATATCATTCGCGTTATGTGATAACGAGATATTTGTTCGTGTATATACATGACTAGCTAATCCGCTCAACTTCGTCTGCGTCACATTTTGTAGTCTATATGTTATTCTGATGTATAAGGTATAACACTGTACAGTTTCATATAAAATAGGTTTAGTTTTTAGGTGAAAAATAACAAACAGCAACTCATCCAGATGGATGGGTTAAAATTTATGATAAAATGTTCATAAATTTATAACGCGGTTATAATATTAGTAGGAACCTATTGTCTGGAGGATAGTCAGTTGCCTTTGTTAGTCATTAAGATTACATAAAAAAAATTGTGAACAGGAATCTCCTGCTACAGCTCTTCGCATCGCTGGTGAATTGATGCGTAGAATTAAAGCTATGCCCTTCAACCGTTACCGAATAATAACTGTGGTCACCATCGGCCAGAAGAGATCTCAAAGTTACAACAATGCCGTTACTTTTTTATGGGATTACGAGAGAGATAATTACGTTGATGTCCAGAGAGAAGTTACCACAGCCTTCGTCCAAGTTACTACGTTTGGAATATACCTTGATTAATAATATCGTATCACAGATTATATAGTTTTATATAAAAATAAGTAGCTATAACTGAAATTATAATTAGCTCTTTATCAGCCTACGATGTATATGTTTATACACCTATTTTTATTTAGAGTAATTATATATTTATTACCGTATTATTTATATGATTATATAGATATAAAAAAATAATAAAATTGATATTCCACAGGGGTTTGTTTTTTATTTATAATACATAGCTAATAGGTTTTTCAAAAATAAAGAAGTTTGAATTAAACACGGATAAGCAAGATTTTTTTCAAACAATAAATAAGTGAAATTGTCAATTAATTCTGCTTAGAATATGTCACGGAGTTTGTTCCCGCTTTATAGCAGACTTCAATATAGAACATGATAGAACGTATTAATTTATTAGTGTCTTCTTTATGACTCATAAAAATGTTTGTGGATTATTTAATTCAGATCTTTAAAGCAGTAATTAATAGGCAGGCTTGCATCACTTTTAATGAAATACTTTTTGTATGGAACTGCGTTACCAATTTGTTTTAGCCTATTTTATTTTAGCCAATGCCTACTTGTAAGTAGCTGTACGCCTAAATTTATTTATAACGGTTTTGTCCTCATACGCAAGCCCGCCTCACTAAGTAATTTTTGTGTGCAACTGTGTATCCTTTTCTTTTTAAGAACTAGTGTAGGTTGTTACATGAGTTCAATTTTAGCCATCGATTCCATAAGGGCGGTTACAACGCTTATAAAACACACACACACAGTACGTGTGTGTACTTAATTGCACATTGTGACAATAACTATAGTTTCTATTGCGAGCCATTAGATTATAAAAAAAGAATATAATTTTGAACATGGTATGTGGAACATAGAGGTATGATATTGTTGTTTCTTTTTGTAAAAATATATACATTTTCTTCTTATTATGTGTCAAAACATTTTTTTAATTACGGTGGATAATTTCTCCAACAAACGTTCACTAAATTCTGCAGTAAGTATTCTAATACTGAGATATATTCCACGCTTAAGATAAAGCCGTGTTTAATCTACACTGAGAATGACAAGAAAGAGACGAAAGCTCCATTGTACTTAGCATTTATTATACGGATACATTAATATCCCATCTGCAAATGCTGGAGACAGCTTCACAATCAACTCAGATAAACCGGAGATTACGTCGAACCGCTTGTATGAAAATCGTTATGTATCATTTAAAGTTAGAAGCGAAGATCAAACATTCAGTAGGTGTTTTGATATCGACAGTTAATCGAAGATGAGGTAATTAAGTAACGTTATGAACATTCTTTGATTATGATAGCAATATCAATTGATTGTTTTTAAATCAGTAACAGAATATAACTTTTTAACTTCAGTTATTTGATCTGACGTTAACTCCATACCTGATTTGAGTGTCAAGAACAATTCAATAAAGAAGAATTATTTCTAGAACCAAGACGATATTGATAAAACATAATGCCCATCACGACGCATAGCCTATGGATTTCAAATTTGGAATAGTTTTCGATAATACTGGCACAATAAAAATAAAGACCAAAAATTAGAAGAAATATTTTACTTTTTTTGCAGGAAGTAGTGTAATTGGGGTTTTAAATTTTAGTATAATTCTACTTCTACTGAGACGGTCTTATCGCTATAACAATGTATTACAGACAATTTCAGAATTAGACCAACAACCCTAATAACGTGTATTCAATCAGATCGCAGTTGATATTTTTATGTCACAAAGCAGTTTATTATTCAAACACTATCACCAGCGACACATAAACTTGTACAAACTGTCGTTCGTCTATCATTACACTGTATACACATTCAATGAGAACTAGGCTGCGAGCGTGGGCGCTGTTGTTATTGGCGCGAACTATTCTTTCGTTTTGTATTCCAAAGCTTTATGGAACTTCACGGAAATATACGATAGATGTATAGAAGATAAACTATCGGAAAAAAACAATAAATGGTCTTAAATAATGGCGACGGTTTCGTAAAAAATTCGCCACGCTGGCTTTATGTAATTCTAACAGTTGATACACTAGAATTGATACATTTTTGTATTAGAATTGGGTGTGGTATTGGTATTAAAATTATTTTCTTTTTTTTTGATACGTTTCTATTGGATATCTATACGATACAATAAATTTCAATTGAATAAAATATTGCTATACTAATATCACAACGGAGAAAGTATATCGGTGACTAAATTTTGAAAAACGTCGTTTTATCTCAATAAATAATCATATTTTGTTTGAAATACTGTTGGAATAATTTTAAAGATTTTTTATTTTTAGAAAATTTTATGTTTGTAGTTTCCATAATAGATTCTTCCTATATAAGTATTACTGAGTAAATTAACCATAAAGAGTAGATTTTGATATATTTGTACTATAAATAAATATATGTATCTGGTGAGACATATGTATTTTTTTTTACACATGGATGTCACTGAGCGATTTGATCTCTTTGGCCTTCATAGTGATAGTCATGACGTCATTATGTTTTCGACTTTACTTGGATTGAATCCAAAAGAAGCGGTATCAGTTACATCTTTGGAACAATAATATATGTTGCGTCTGAAAATAGGTACCTATTTTGTCAAGGTTATATACGGTTTTTACATGTAATACGTACGTATACACATAAAAATTATAGGTAAATATAAAAAAAAATTATGAAAGTATATAAAAAAAACAACATATAGAACAGAATAAATAAAATATATTCATATATCAACATTAGTTAATTTTTTACATATAATACGTACGTACACAATTACAAATTATAATAGGTAATTAAAAAAATACTTATCAAAGTAAAAAAACAAATCACAAATAGAACAAGAAATACACAGAGTATAAATTATATAAATTTATAGATCAACACTAGTAAAATTGACTTAATGACTTTAAAATCGAAAAGCAAAGATACCACAATTCTTTAATGCCTTCATTTGAGGTCTCTTTCAAATTCATAACCTCATTCATAGGAATCAGATGTGGATACTTACTCAGTTTTACATAATAATCTTCTCTCTTGTATAACCTTTTCTCGAAGACTTTCAAATATAGAACGCATAATTATTTCTTTAATTATTTATTTTAGAATGTTATAAATACTGCCAGTTATTATAATTATTATGTTCTTAATTTAAATTTAATGGTGGTTTAAAAGATATACTCGGAGAAACAGCGACTTTGTTTATTGACTATTTATAGATAAATGAATCATTTCTCTTTGTCATATAATCGTAGTATAGTTTTAGTTGTATAATTGTATGTTATGAAAACAGTATAATTATGTGTATATTTTTAATTTAAAATGAATTATAACTTCACACGTTGCATTTTCTCAGTTTCTAGTTTAGGTGTCGACAGGAGTCCTTATTCATAAGCCGATAGCATGATGTTGTCACGAACAGCGAACTACTTGTAACGCGTATTGTCCTCATAAATACGAACATAAACAATTAATATAATAAACAAATTGCTTTTATATAACGTAAATACATACGTTAATTATTTTTATATCAAATGTAAGTGATCTGTTGATCTGAAGTATCACTTCAGATCAACAGCAGTTATTTGATTAATTCTTTTAGTTTGTTGTGATTTTAACAATACGTTTCAAAGATTTGAAATTATGAAAATGTTTTGTTTTCAAATCGTAAGGAGAAATGTAAAAAATATATGTTCTACACGCCGTGCAAAGTTGGGGCTCGTAGTTAGTTCAGAAATATTTTTTAACCTCCCGTATTGGTACGAGTCAATTAATCATACATGACCATATGGTTGTTACGATGAAAGTTTCCAGTAGTTAATTTGTTCCTATGGAAAGTTTTCAGTTTCATAAATAATTACTTGCTTACGACTTTGTATATCCACAACAATATATATTGCAATCGTTAAGACAACAGTTTGAAATTGAAGGCAATAAAGAATTTAGTCCATGAATTGTATCAGCGTAAAATCTAAATGAAAGCTAATATTATAGTTCTGAGTCGATACAACCGTCGGATTTCGTTGCAATGTGCATCAAATCATTTGCATAGAAAATATTCAGACAGAAACAATAGCGGCTAGACGGTTAGACTGAATAATAAATTGCCAAAACTTAATATCAATAAATAAACAATACTTGATTAAAAAATTGATTGAACGTACCGGGCTGAAAGCTATGTTATTTTGTTATTAAATTATTAATTCTTTGTACAGCATACAAGTTAATACCTATTTGAAAGAAAAATGTAAATACAGTACTAATTCTAACAGACTTTCGGTAATTGTAGACATCATATAAACGGGATATTTGTCATGATAATGTTTATTAGGTAGAAATGTTTCGAATATCGCGAAAAAAAGGAAAAAAATTGAAACGAAGAGATTGAGAACTTATAATTAATATTTTGTTATAATATTATATATTTTTGTATTATGTATTTAAGAATATAAGCTACATATAATAGCTGCATTATACAATATAAAATATATAGACAATAATCTATATTGTCTGTATATCTGTGTATTATCTATAATACATATAATTTTCGTGATGATGGCTTCAACAGATTACGGGGTGTAGAAATTATGGATTTCGCTTGAATTTCTTGGATTAATTTGGTAAATTATAAATTTTGATGATCGATTTCAATTTTGAAAGTCCGTACTATATATACAGAGAGAATTCAAAACGATGGGTGTGAGCTCTAATCACATCGCTCAGTCGGTGTTGTGTTTTGTTGCTGTTTGCTATACGCAACACATATATACAATCTATTAATCTAAAAAAAATACTATATCTTAATATGTACGTCCCAATTACTCTAGAATATAAGTACAAATTAACATCACAAAAATAAGCTTATATTATTTTTAGTATTAGATTTATTAGAGATTAGCTAAAATAAGTTTAAGATTAAATGGCTGTAATGCTAAAATCAACATTTATTTATAAAACATATTCAGTCTACGTTTATATTTTTCTTTAGATGACTTCATTTTATTTCATTTTAAATGTTAACGAAAGAAAGATGTGAATCTTTTATAAAATTTGTATTTAAGACAAATATGTTTACTAACGTTTATCAAGCTACAGTTTAACTTAGTTTAATCACCAATCTCCAGTATATTAAGTTC